TTTTTTGGTCTTTTTGAGACAAGGTTTCACTGCAGTTCAGGCTGGCCTTGAACTCACTCTGTAGCCCATGCTGATCTCAAACTCATTGATCATCCTGACTCAGCCTCCTGAGTGCTGGGATTACAGGCCTGTACCACCACCCAGGTTTATATTTTGTAGTAGTTCAAGCAAAGTATTTTGTAATCTGCTGGTTGAGAAATAACTGAGTTTTGAGAATTGTAGAAAACTAGAATGAAGATTTTGGGTAGTTAAGAAATATTTCTAACCTTGCTTTTTCTTATTCCTCAAGTGAAGTGAAATAATTGTAGATACAATTTCAAGTATCAGCATACCTTGAAGTCTGTTTCTATTGTGTAAAACGGAATGCTATTGAGATTACTTCTCATATATTTGATTCTGGAATTTCATTACTTAAAAATAAGGAGTCTGAATGCCAAGGTGAAAGGCTTGAAATTCAGATAGCAAGTATTTCTAAATATTTATATTTGCAAACAAGCCAGAAAATACTAGGTTATCTTCATTTCTAATTTTTGGAGCAAAGAACTTTGAAAGAATAACACTAACGTTATCACTGCTCTCAAGACAAGTGTTTTCTGCATGTTTTATAACACAGACTGTTTGGGTTTTGTCATAATTGTGAAGCAGTAGTAGCATGGAGCACTGTGATCTTTCAGTGTTTATAAATGTGTAAAGAAGTTCCATGGCAGTGAAATATGTAGGATGGGACTGAGCTAGCAATCACAACAGGAAATAGAATTAAGATTTGCTTCTTCTACACAGTGCTTTGGTGGCTTTTCTGTTCCAAAGAATTTCTTTTAATGGTTCAAAAACTTTTAAAAAAACAACCCAAAGACAGAAATGGGCAGGCCATATAAGGCAAATTTTAAGATACTCTCTCTTTTTTTTTTTTTAATGTTTAATTCCTGGGGCCAGGGAGATGGCTCAGTGGAATAAGCGCTTCCCTGACAAGCATAAGGTCCTGAGTTCAATCCCCAGTTCCGCAAAAAAAAAAAAAAAAAAAGTTTAATTCCTGATTATTATAAATGACTAGCTTGTATAGAAAATGGATGGAAAATAAGTTGTTATATCATTATCAAAATATAGTCACCGTTGATACTTTGCTGTATTATCTATTAAGATCTATTGTCTTTCTCATTTTCCAACGTAATATTTTTCCTTTTTTTTTTTTTTTTTTTTGCTCCGAATGCCTTCAGGGCAAGTTTGGCTAGCTTGAGTTGTGGGGATCAAAGCACAGCAACCTGAGCCTGACTGCTTTGTTGAAGCAGCCACTTAAAGAACTGAGCTAAGGGGCAGGCCCCCTATTTTTCCATTTTTAAGAAATAAAAATCAGATTATACAATTTATAATTTTGGGGAAATTGGTTTTTAACCTTCCATTAGTACACTTTATACATTTTTCATGTCATTAAATCTTTTCTGAAAATGATTTTGAGTAGCTGAGGGGCTGGGGAGATGGCTTAGTAGAGTAAGTGTTTGCCTGGCAAGCTCGAGGGCCTGAGTTCAATCCTTGGTTCCACCAAAAAAAAAAAAAAAAAGACAGTAGCTGAGTAGTTTGCCATTATAAGATTGCTAAAGTACAATATAAAAGATACTTAACATGAATTAATACACAACAGGTATCAATACTGTACATACCAATCCTTTTATTTGTATTTGATGGTCTCTGTGAAGAACAGAGAAGTAATGAACTTCAAATCACACAACCAGAGGCCATAATGTATTCACCCCAGTTTGATTCTATTTTCACTTTATCGCAAAGTATGTTAAAATATTATAACAATAACAATGATAGTGCACTAAATGATTCCCTCCTCTCAAAAATGCACTGATTTTTTAAAAACTTGCTTTAAACCTTGTTTTTTTGTTTTGTATTTTTCAATACTGGGGTTGAATCCAAGGATTTGCTGAAGTGCCCTTATCAACTAAGCTACATCCCCAGCACTTTTTCAAATGTTGTTGCCCAGGCTGAGCTCAAATGGGATCCTTCTGGTGGTGCTTCTTGAGTTATCTGGGATTACAAGTGTGTGCCACCAAACCTAGCTGCTTTATATAGAGAAAAACATGTGGCTGGTGAGTTTTTGCCTGAAATGCTAATAATTTATTCATTAGCAGAGGAAAAACTACCTCAAAACAAGACCAAACATTAAATTAAAAAGTACACACTCCTTCTAAAACTATTCTTGCTGGGGATATAGCTCAGTGGCACAGTACCTGCCTGGTAAGCATGAGGTTTTGAATTTGATTTCTAGTACCAAAGAATAAATAAATAAAATAAAAGTATCCTTACAGAATTTTTTTTAGAATACTTTACAAAATTGTGTTTAAAATGATAATAATGTCATCTGAAGGTAAAAGCAATTATCTTTTTAAAGATAAGTGTTTGAAGGATGTTAAATGTTTGAAGTTTTGAAATAAAGCTCTTGCACTGGAAGTATGTAGATGAAATGGCTTACATGGGTCATAGAATTTGTGTATGGGATAGAAAAGATTAAATCAGTGGGTTATAGAAATTTTTAGCAGTCTTTGGTTATAATTTTAGGTTTTACAATAGGATATGCTATTTATATTATCTGTTGACTTCCTGAGTAGCAATTATAAATGATGAAAAAAGTACAGAAATATAACACATCCAACTCTATCCAGCAATGTCAGTAAATTACTGGTTATAAATGAGTAAATTTTCCAGATAGTTCAAATACATTGTATTAAGCATCAAAACTTTTATACCTCAGCCACAATGGTGATAGTGGCAGAATGCTTTGTTAGGAAAAGGTGAAGAGAAATTTTAAATTACTTTCTGACTAAGTCTTGATAGTCACATTTTTAATGATTATTCTTATACTTCCAGAATTACCCTCACTTAAGTAAGACTGTATTGGAACACATTAGGTATTTAAAAATTATCTTAGGCAGAAAAATAACTAATTTTTTGTTATGAAAAGAGAGGAAAAGTTACAGAAAACTAAAAAAATATGTTGTACTTTGCTCATGACCATTGAACTCAGAGAATCCAAGTTTACTATTTTTTTTTCAGTAGTAACATTTTTATTTCACTATACCCTAGACAAAGTAAATAAAAATTACCAAGTAAAAGTTATTGTCTTTTTAAGTAAAATTTATAAGGTACCTCTCTTCATTTATCAGAATATAAGTCTGTAAATTTTATGGGACATACCATATACAAAGTTTCAAAATTCTTAGTTGTCAAACTAAGCCAAAGCACAAAACAGAAATTTGTCTATAGAAATTTCTTTTTTGGTTGCTTTTTCGAGTAGTTTTTGTTTTTGACATTTCTGTCAAACTTCTAGCTTAAAATGTTCTATTCTCATTGAAAATTTGTGTAATATTTGCAAGTTCTTAAAATATGGTCCTAATTAGTATTAAACTATGTACTATCTTACATTATAAAAGCTTTAAACTGCGGATTGTCTCCCATCAATCAGAATAACAAACTCTAGTTGTTAACAGTTTTTCAAGGCTATTAACCTCAAGTATGCATGCTTAAGGGTGAAAGGTGAACTGCAAGTGAATTCCAGAG